ATATAGCACCAAGACCAGACAAGTTTCTCCAGGATTGTAAATGAGGTCAGATATAAGAGTACATATGGGAGCCTCCCTTTTTCATTTATGTATACATCAACAAAAAAGTTGGCATGTGCCTGAGAACTGGAGGGATAGTGATGTTACTTCTATTTTTAAAGGTGGTAATAAGAGTTTCTTTAGAAACTACAGACCAGATAATCTTACTGTTATTTTGCAAAAAATCATAGAGAGTCTGATAACAGAAGCTTTACAAAATCATTTTGTAAAATATAATTAAAAAAAAAGCCAATATGGATTCATCAAATGGAAATCTTGCCTTATTAATCTGTCAACTTTTTCAAGGATGTTTACTTTTAACTGGCTGATGGAAAGAGTGTGGACTTGGTGTACATAGATGTTCAAAATTATTTTGAAAAAGTGTTTCGCAGATTAGTTGAGTATATCACATTAGTAGAGGTCGGAGGAAAGACAAATTTATTTGATTGCACGGTGGTTGGACGAGAAAATGCAAAATGTTGTTATTAAGGAAATGCCTCAGGGATTAGTTCTCTTACCTCTAGTTTTTCTTATATAAGTGATATTATTAGTAAATTATTACAATTTGCTGATTACATTAAATGTAGATATTTATAGCTTATTGAGGATGTTCCAATACTACAGAATGACATAGATCAGTTGATTAGTTAGACATAAGTTTGGCAGATACAAGTTAATGGTCTTGTATTATCATAATTTGGATCACACATTTAATTTAGAGGGAACCCACTCAGTAATGTGACTGAAGAAGAGATCTTGGCATAATAGTGGAGAAGTCATTCAAGCATTAAGGCAGTTTTTTTTTGCTGTTAACAAAGCTAAAAATAAAATTTTAGTGTATTTATAGACATGTTGATATACAATTCAGAAGTTATTAGTTAGGCCTCAATCGAAAATACAGTTTTGTTCTCTATAAAAGGGTACAGAGGAGGGCTACTAGGATGATCCTGAGGATGGAAAGGTTAAGATCAGTTAATTTTCTCTTAAGAAAAGAAGGGTAGGGGATGATCTTGTTGAAATTTATAAGATTATCTAGGGGAGTGATAAGAAAAAAGCTTTTAATTTTTTGTGTGTAGTATTTTGAAAATAATTGGACGAGAGGACATAATTTTAACATTTGGAAAAAATAGGCTAGGCTACAATTAAAACAGTTTTATCTGAAGGCAACCCATTCCAAAGGCCAACCATCCTGTTAGAAATATAAAGATATCTTAGCTAAAGATAACCCCTACTCTGCCAAAATTTGTATATAAATTTCCCCTAGTCCTACAATTCTCACCATCAAGTATGAAAAAAAGAGATGATGCATTAACACTATCAGTTCCTTTAACAATCTTATATACCTCAATCAGATCCTGTCTTAACTATTCTTTTTCAAGAGTTTAAACTTTGTTAAATGAAATTGCAAAGCCTCTTTTATCACAATTTCAAAAACATTTCTCACCACTGTTGTAAGATTAATAGAATCAAAAAGAGCAAAGGTCCTAACACCAAGACCTGAGGTACCTCATTTGTGACATTAATTCAGTTTGACTGAACAGCATTTATAACAACCCTTTGCTTTCTTCCATCTATCCAGTTTGCTGTGCTACAAAATATTTGTTAATTAACTATATTATTTGATTTGATGAAATGCTTTTACCCTTGTATCAAAATTAAGGGGACACAGTTTAACTTTTTGAGGGACACCCTTGAGATGTTTTGAAGAATATTAATGCATACCCCTGGGGTACAAATTTTTTCTCAGTCCTATGGGGCTATTTAAGCTGGAAAAAAAGATAATTGGCTAAACTTTTTTGCGATGATTCTCTCAAAACATAATGGAGCTAAATCTAGGGTCTTCCTGAACCTACTGAAATTCTACTGAGTGGACAATCTGTTGAATTTATTCAACGTATCTATGATGGTAATTTAGGTAGTAATTTTGTTCTTGAACCTGAAAAACATTACGAATCTTTTCAGAAAGATTGGGCAATAAGACCTGTTCAAGGAAAAACTTATGGAAAAAAGTATATTATTCATTATATAGATGATGTGAAGCAAATGTATGATGATGGGAATTTAAGTGATAAAAAAAAGGGTCCTGGTTGCATGCTTGAGATGTTGAAAATGAAATACCTCTCTGCATTGGATCTACCATTTGAGAGTGAGATTTGTTTGGCAATCAGCGCCTTCATTGCAAAAGAGAAAAGAGCAGTAAATGGCCAACTTTCAACTCGTATACATTTTCCAGATGTGCTTTCAAATATCATCAATGATATTCTTGATGCAAATGAAGACATTGTACCAAAGGCATGCTATGCAGTGGTCCTGGAAAGATATGAGAGGATAAAGGAGGCAAACCCCATTGAAGAGTTCCCTGATGAGAAGAAGAAAAAACAAGATCAGCCAAATCAAACAGAAAAAAGAAGAGGAAAAGACAAGCAGTTGAAGGAGGAACCCAAGGAGGTGTTTCGTTATGAATTCTGTACTTGTTCGAAAGTCAACATAAGTATTCATCCCCCCCCAAAAAAATGTAAAAGAATTGTCATTTATTTGCATTTATTTTCATGAAAGAAAAAAAAAGAGCAAGAAAATAAAGAGCAAAACA